AGGGGTGCTGGGTGGGAGCTGAGTCCTCTCCTGCTAAGCAGGCCTCAGGGCTGGGACAGACATGTGTGCCCTGCCCAGATTGGCACACTTGGAGCCTTATGCTCCTCTGTTTTTCCTTTTTTTACTTTCTTCTTGAGACAGGATCTGGCTCTGTCGCTCAGGCTGGTATGTGGTAGTGGGATCTCCGTTCACTGCAGCCTCCGCCTCCCAGGCTCCTGCCAGCCTTCCTCCTCAGCCTCCTGAGTAGCTGGGACTGCAGGCACACACCACCACACCCAGCTAATTTTTGCATTTTTTGTAGAGATGTGGTTTTGCTACGTTGCCCAGGCTGGTCTCAAACTCCTGAGCTCAAGCAATCTGCCCATCTTGGCCTCCCAAAATGCTGGCATTACAGGCATGAGCCACCATCCCCAGCTGGGGCTTTAGGCTTCTGAGAAGACACAGCTCTTTTTTTTTTTTTTTTTTTTTTTTTTTTTAAGAGATGGGGTTTCACCATGTTGGCCAGGCTGGTCTTGAACCCCCAACCTCAGGTGATCCGCGTGCCTCAGCCTCCCAAAGTGCTGGGATTACAGGCGTAAGCCACTGCGCCCGGCCAACACAGCTTTTATACATCAGATTTACTTAGGCCAAGAAAAGAAAAACGTTCCAGAACCTGGGGAGGGAGAATTACTGCCCTTGGGCCCTTGGCTTGGTCTGAGCTGCCTGGCAGGCAGGGCAAAGACACAAAGAAGGTGCCCCATGCTTAGGAGAGAGCAATGCAGCTCTACCTCCACCCTTGGCATCTGCGCCCATGTTCCCTCCCAGGACTGAGACTCTGGCCCCCACCCTGCAGGTGTGTCCATAACTAGCTCTGGGCCAGACGCCACACCAGCCAAGGGACTCCAGAGCTGAGGAAGCTTGAGCAGGGCCACCTGGCCTGGAGAAGCTGGCACTGGCCAGGCCCCAGGGAGTGCAGTGAGGCTGTGGTGGGTCCAGGCCTGCTCGCAGCGCGCCTAGAGCTGTGTTTTTTCAAAAGCCCCTTGAAGCCAGAACCCTGCCGCCCGACACTGGACATCTGATGCCCTCACACAGCCTCGCCATGGCGGCTGTTCCTCAGTCTCTTCTCCCAGGCCGTCCACAGCCTGTGGACACCTGCTCGGGACGTTTCTGAGATGGAGTCTCGCCCTGCTGCCCAGGCTGGAGTGCAGTGCCACCATCTTGGCTCACTGCAACCTCCAACTCCTGGGTTCAAGCAATTCTCCCACCTCAACCTCCTGCCTGCTTGGGACTCGGGAATCCCGGGCTCCCGGCCAGCTCAGCACAGTGAGGGCTTCCAAGGGACCTCTCTGACCATCTGGCTCCCCACCCTCCCTCGGCCACTCCCAGACTGCCTGTGCACCCGCCCCCAAGGCCGCACCTCACCCCTCAGGGCTCTTCTGTCCACTCTCCCTGTCCACTCTCTGGCCAGAGGGCACAGCCTTCATAAAGGACTGGAGGCCTCAATGACCCCGTGGGCTTGGGGAGGAGGCTGAAAGGCTGAAAGGCGGCAGCCGCTTGGGGCACTTGAGCTCCCAGGGCGGGACCTGGGCCTGGACCCCCAGGGACAGGCAGTTCCCAGAGGAGCCGCCATAGCTGTCCTGGGCCCTGGCACGGACCCTGCCCCACCCCCAGCCCAGCTGATGAGATACAGAGACTGAGGTGGACAGAGGGCCTGCCCCAGGCCTGTGTCCCCGAACCCCGGGCAGTGAGGGCCAGGCTTGGGGACCTCACAGGTCTGTGTTGTGGACCCCTGCCCAGGACGGACTCTTATGAATCAGGAGCCTGCCTTTCCTTCTTCACTAATTCATTCAATCCACAGCCTCCCAGCAAGCCCGACCTGGGTGCCCGTGGCTGCCCTCGCCCGCCAGCTGCATGGTGGCTAGGACCTGGGGTGGGGCTCTCCCGAGTGCTTTGTAAAGGGGGGCTGGTGCCTCCGGCTTGCAGGGGTCCTGCTCGTGAGGGTGGTCAGGCTGGTCCTGGGGTGGTCAGTGTAACCGCAGCCTGGGTGGCGCTGCCCAAGCCCCTGCCCCATTCCCTGGGAGCACTCGGAAGCCTGGCCCTGCCCCTCAGCCCATCACCCAGCCTGTCTTCGGTTCCTGCCACCTGTTGGGGGAGGTGGCAGGGCTGGCAGGCTGCCCATTCCAGCCGAGGGTGCCTCCATCTCCCCGTGCCAGTGTACCCTCCATCGAGGTGGTCAGGGGACAGGGCAGGAGCCCCTTTCCCAACACAGTGGAAGGAGGTGTTCAGGTGCCCCCTCCACGCCTGTCCCTCGGGCATGGTGCCAGCCTCCCCCAGCTCCAAGCTCTCCCCCAGGCAAGGCCTTTGTGCCTCCTTGTCACCCGCCGGCCCCGGGACTGCCCCATCCCAGGCCAGGCTCCCTGGCATCTTCCTGACATGCGCCTGCACAGGCACAGCGAGAGGACATTGCAAAGCGTGCTGGGCCGGCCGAGCTCGGGGCTGGCAGGGACCCTATCTGGATCGGGGATGGACACTGTTGGGCCCTGGTCTGCGGCAGGCATCACGGAGCCGAGGAGAGAGGGAGACCCAGGCGCAAGGTGGGGTGCAGGCGCGGGGGGCCTGGGCTGGCCTCTTGGCATGAGCCTCCGACCGCAGGGCTCAGAGTGGTCAGGACCAGTGACCAGGGGCCACTACCACGCCTCCTTCACCCTCGCTTTCAACAGGCTGCCTGAGGGCATCACGCCCTGAGGTCTTGGGCCAGGATGCATGAAAACCTTGACTCCTCAAACACCGGTAGGTGTCCCCGAGTGCCAGGCTCGAGACAGGCGCTGGACAGAGCAGGGAAAGGGGTCTCTTCCTCTGGGGCTGGCAAGGGTGGGCAGCGGTCGGGCAAAGCCTCTTTGGTGCCACAGTACAGGGCTGGGCAGGGGGAGAGCCAAGTAGGGCAGGGGACTGTGGCTGGAGAAGCGTGGCCTCTGACACCTGTGGGCATCGGGGAGCCCCAGAGGCTTTAGGGGGGAGAGAGGCATGACGCAGTGGAGGCTTTCGGCGGGCCCCTCTGCTGCCAGGTGGTGAGGGCACCCGAGGTGGAGGCCAGTGGTCAGTCAGACAGCTCCAGGCCCGCGCTTGCTCAGGGCCCAGCCCAGGAGGGTATCAGCAGGGTCCCAGAGCAGCTGACACCAGGAACGCTGGGGGGAGGGGCGGGGACAGAGGAGGGGTCCGGAGTAGGGGGCGCTGACGGCTCAATCCTGCCCGTCACCGCTCAATGGGCCCTTGTCCCAAGCCATTGAGCGCCGCATTCCCGGCCCCCTGGCGACGGCCCTGGCCACGGCCATCTCCGGGGAGGCAGGAATGTGGCGGGCGGGGCTCGGGCTGGGGGTGGGGGCTCCCGTTCTCACGCCCGCGGCCACTCTGGCTGACTCAATTGGAATTTAAATGCCGGCCATTGTTGTCCCCAGAATGGCCAGGAGTCAGCGCTGCCCTGGGGGCTTGGCCGGGCAGGACTGGAGTGGCCAACCCAGCTTCCCAACAGGCCCAGGTGCCTCTATAGGCCTTTTCCCCAGCCCCTGCTTCCAGGCAGTCCTCCTGGATCTCGCCAGCCCCCTTTCCTGGCTGCCCAGCTCACATTCTTTCTGGTTATTTCTGTCCTGGAGAAAAAGATGGTGGATCGCCCCTACATGGTCCCTGCCTGGGCTAGGACCTGACTGGGGAGCGCCACCCATGGCCTGCCGTCTCCCAGACCAGCTGGTCCGGTCCCATCTGTGGGGAGCAGCCCTTGCCTCCCAGGGGCTGCACTGCAGCCACCAGGGGCCCAGGATGGGGGCAGGAGCAGAAGGAGCTCAGGGTTGCACTCAAGGTTTCTGGGTACCCCAACCCCCTTGGTGGAGGAGCGGGGGTAGGACGCTGGGCCCACCCTGGGGCATCGTCAGGCCCAGGCTGAGGGCAGCACAGGGTTCTCAGGGGGTCTGACCCAGGTGGGGCTGGGAGGAGCCTCCCGGGACACATGTCCCCCTGAGCTCTGGCCTTGTGGAGTTGGGGGATCCCAGGAAGAGAGGTGAAACTCTAGCTTCCCACGTGGAAGGCAGCTCATGGGAGCTGCCAGATTCAGATCACATACTGTGGAGCTCAGATGCACCAGGTGGGTTACTCCCCTGGACTAAGGGTGGTCTCTGGGTCTGAGTCCAAGCAGAAACACCAGGAAGGGGAATGTGGGGATGTACCCAGCTTCTAGGACACACGGGGACCTGCCACCCCACCGTTACCTGGCCCGGGCCTGGGGCCTCTGAGTCTATCCTCCCACAGCAGCCAGGATGTGTCACGGGGCACCCCAGCTCCATGTAGGGCCTGCCTCACTTTTGCAGGAGTATGCAAAACCCCCAACTCCCATTCTCACACCCCAAACCCCCCAAACACAGCTCCAGCCCCAGGTAGGGCCCACCCCTTGATGCCCTGGGCTATCTGTCCAGCTCAGGCGCCCTCGGAGGGCCGGGCCAGCCACAGGAGGTACCAGCCTGCTCCCCAGTCCATCCCACACCCCTTCCTCCGCCAGGGCTTCATTCATTTATTTATTTGCTGAACCTCTGACATGTCTGAAAGGGGCCTTTGTCTGCCAGACAATCAATGGCACAAATGGAAATGGATTCGTGTTTGGGGAGAGTCTGGTGTGTGTTTGTAGGTGGGGGGCCGGGCCGGAGACCCATGAAGGGGACTGTAGGCACTGTCGCCCACCCTGCCACACGGCCCAGGCCCAAGCTGTGTGCCCTCCAGGAGTGGCAGATGCCCGTGAGCAGGCATCAGCCTGGCCCAGCCTGGACGAGCACTGTGCCCACGTGGCAGCCAGGCGCAGGCCACCTGCACAGTGGCCAGTGAGGGCGGGGCTGAGGGACACCTAGTGACAGCTAGACTGTACCACGAGGGCCCAGGGGACAGCCTGCAAGGGCCCTGAGGCCAGGGTAGAGGTTGAGGACAGCAGGGCGAGCTCCCAGCCGAGTTGACCCTCAGACAGGAGGAGGCCACTGTGAGCCGCCACTGAGACTTTTATTGGAGTGAGATGGGGGCCCAGGGAGCTGGTGGAGGAGGGCTGTGATCTACATAAGTTTTTCAAAAGATTGTTTGCCAGCAGGGGCTCTGATACTGGGAGGAGGTGGGCGCGGGTCCCAGAGAGAGGAGACCACCTTGACCTGAGCAGGTGTGGCCAGAGCCCAGGTGAGGCTGGAAGGTCTAGCCACATGGATTTGCTGACTGATGAGCTGTTGGGGCCGAGGCAGGTTCATGAGAAGGGGAAGGACTTGGCTGAGTCCCGCCGCCCCTCACTGCAGCCCTCCCCACGCACACCGAGGGCCGCACTACCTCTAGACAGGACCGCCCTGCCTGGCCTCTGCACTGGCACGCTGACTCACGCAGAGCCTGGGGCTACCAGGCCTGATGGAGCTGGCAGGCAGGGACTGTCTTTCCTGGAGGACTTCCTGGAGGAGGCGTGCTGCAGCTGGAGGCCTGAAGCACAGCTGGCAGACCGGGGCAGGTGTGGTGAGGCCGGGTGCCACACCCTGGGCCCTTGGCCTGGTGGAAGTTGGGAAGGAGTGGGAGGCTTCTGCCCGTCCCGGCAGCCGAGCAGCGCTGACCTAGCACTGTCCACGGCATCCAGCTCCTGCCAGCGCCCAGTGCCCGCCCAGACAGACACGGCCCATTCATGGGTCACAGAGGCATAGCCGAGGACATGTCAGTGGCCTGGCTGGCCCAGCTGGAGCACAGGGCCTGTGGCTGTTTGTCCAGTGTCCACTCATCCACGGCCGATGGGCTTTGTCGGCTGGCTCAGGGCAGCCGGACTCCTGGCTGGTTTTCAGCCACTGACACTGTGGTCTCTGAAGCAAGGGTGCCAGTGAGGGCAGGAAGCTTGGGGACACCGTGGGAGGAGCAGGTTGAGGGAGGAGGGAGCCCCACTGTCCAGGATGTGAGGTGCAGGGAGCTCAGGACCCCAGATCTACAGCTGGGGGCTATCCATGGGGGTGCTGGCAGCTGTGGGCCTGGGCAGAGCTCAGGACTCAGAGGCTCCCTGGGTTGTCTATTTATTTTAGAGATGGGGTCTTGCTGTTTTCCAGGCTAGTCTTGAACTCCTGGCCTCAAATGATACTCCCACCTTGGCCTCCCAAAGTACTAAGATTACAGGTGTCAGCCACCACGTCAGAGGCCCCCTTGTGCTGGTGCCCAGGAGTTCCTAATTAAGCCCTTTGAGGCAACTTCCTCTGGGGATATTGCCCTTGGTCCTTGCCTTTGTCTGGAGATCCACCCCTCCAAGGCCCTCAGGGGCAACCTGCTGCTGTGAGGTCCAGTCACCCCTTGCACCAGTCCTCCCTTAGCCTGCAGTGTTAGGGGCATCCCTGTGCCTCGGGTGACCTGTGTAGGGTCCCAGGCAACCCTGTTCTGCCATGACCTCTACCCTCCATGTCACCACGCTGGGCCACAGACTAGCAAGGCTCACCTCTGCTTAGAAGTGGCCCACCCTCACGTAGCCTGACACCCCAGGGCTGCAGCCTCCACCCTGCCTGGACCCCCCAGCCCACCCCGGGGGCTGAGCACAGGCAGCCTCAGCCCCATCCTCTCACCTGGCCCGAGACACACTTGCATAAAACCGAAGCTCTGTCCCTCTGTGTGCTCAGGCCAGCATCTGCGGGCGGCCCGGGGAGGGTGGGGTTGTCCAGAATGTCAGCCCACCCTGTGCCTCTTCTGGGCAGAATGACAACCCCACCCTCATTCTGGGCCTGGGTTCCTTTGTAGTGGCTGGAAAAGGCCAATAGTAGCCAGTGGACTCAGGGTTTGGACTCCCGGCCGAGAGGCTGCGCTGAGCCCTGGGGTGAGCCTGGGAGAGGTGGCCTGGCTGCGAACACGTGGCCTCGGAGATGGACACTCTCACCGCTTCAGCTGCTTCAGTCCAGCCCCCGTGTGCACGCCGCTGGGTGGGGAGGGAAAGGCAGGCAGGTGAGGGCCTGGGGGCTTCTGGGCAAATCCCCACAGTCTGGGGCTGGAGATGAGGCCACAGAGCGGCAGCTCCGGCAGAGCCTCACGCAACTGGGGCAGAGACCTTCATCAGAGGCAACCCGGACCCCGGGAGCCAGACACGGCCAGGGCCTCTCTCCGAGGGAAGTATGCCGCTGTCAGACATGGGGTTCAGAAAGCAGCCCAGGCCGACTGGAGGAGAGAGGAGGCAGGAAGAGAGGAGGCAGGAAGGCCAGGAAGAAGCCAAAGCTGCCTTCCAGGCGACAGGTGAGGCTGGGGGCCTCGGGTGAGCGACGTCAGAAGACGATACACGGCCTGGGGGTGTCCACCTCGGTGCAGACGAGGAGAGGGCCACAAGCACAGCCTCGAGCTCAGGACCCTCCAGCCCAGGACCCTCCAGCCCAGGGCGGCTGTCCTAGGCCCAAGCTGAGCACACACTGGGATCTGTGCCTGCTGGAATGCACGCTCCTCAGGTCCCCTGCGCTCCCGTCCCGGGCCTGCCACCCCATCACCCACCATCGGCCATGGAGGTCAGAACAGGCTCAGGCTCTGGTCCAGCAGCTGCCCATACCCGCCATGAGCAAAGCCTCAGGGCAGAGGGGAGCCTCCATCTGGGCCAATGGGACCCATCCCAGGCAGTGACGACCAGGAGGAGAGGTGGGGCTGAGGCCTGGGGCCGAGGGCTTAGGAAAGAGCTCCCCAGAGCAGCCGAAGTTGAGTCCATCTGCGAGCAGAAGGGAAGTGGGTGGCAGGTGGGCAGTGAAGGGCCCTAGGTGGAGGCCATGGCGGGTTGAGGCCAGCAGCCAATTCGAGAGCTGGCTGCTCATAGTCACCCGCTGGGGACCGTCTGGGCCTGGCAGGCCCAGAGGGAGGCGGTGTGAGAACAGCCAGATGAGCCGACCTGAACCCGCCTCCCTCCCGGCCCCCACCCTGACCCAGATCCTGCTGCCATCTGAGCAGGAAGGGAGCTGGGATCTGAGATTGGGCCCCCACAGTCTCAGATGCTGCTACCTGGCAGATGGGAGACCAACACCAGAAAGCCACCAGCCCTCTCTGCCCTGACCCAACCTCCAGAGCCCACTTCTTTCTGGAGGCAGCTCCAGGCCCCCCATGCCAGCCCCTGCCCATATCTGGGGCAGATCAGCTGGGGAGGGACAGGGACAAGAGTTGTGCTAATCCCTGCATCTCCTGGGACGGCCCCGCCAGGTTTGCAGCGGGTGGGGGGTGTCAGTCGGGGTTGGGTTTCCCGTTGGCCCCATCCCAGGCGCCGACACCTGCTTTGGGCGCGACACGTCCATTCTGCTCCCGTCAGAGATAACACCTTCAGCGCTCACCGGCTGTCCAGGGAACAAGGGCTGGCACCAGCTCGAGCCGGGCAGAGAGGTGGGCACAGTGGGCCAGGTTCCAGGGGAGGGCCAGTTGGAAGTGAAAATCCCCCTTCCTGCCTTCCATCGGGGGCCCAGCGGGAGGGAGGCTTCCTGGAGGGGACATGGGGTGGGAGTGGAGCAGGCTTGGGGGACCCAAGAGGTCCCTTCCTCTCCAGAACACAAGCTGCCTTGGACCCAACTGGCCCCTCATCCCCCAGTCAAACAAGGTGGCCATAGAGGACGTGTGCCAACCCCCATTGCCCTGGGTCCTCCTGTCGCCATGGCCAGGCCTCACCCCCGAGCCCAAGTCCTTGCTCAGGTCAGAAGGAGGTGGAGGCCTGGGCCAACTCCCCAGCCCCCAGCTTCTGCCTGACTCCTGGCCATTGTCATCTTCAAAGCCCTGGGAGGAGGGGCCACAGGCATCTTTGGGTGATGCCATAGGTGCCTGACGGTGGCCTGAGTTCCCCACGCTTTTAGATAGGGTGGTGGGGAGGGGAGGAGCTGTCCCAGGTCTCTCCATCTCTAGATCTTTGGGCACAGGTAAGTGGGTACCCATGCCTCTGCATGGCATGGAGCTGGCTTTGGGCAGTGCCCCTATCCCTGTAGCCCAGTATGAGAGCTGGCTGGTGACAGTCACCCCTGACCCCTGCCTCAGAGACCCTGGCTCTCCCAATACACCGGGCTGCCATCACACAGCCTGCAGGCCTCTTTGCACACTGCTGGCCTCCACGCTGCCAGGCGCCACAAACACCCACTGAGCTCCCTGCCGGGGCCAGGCCCAGGACCACTTATAGGGACTCCTCCCGGGGCTGGGGCCTGTGTTTGCCCAGGGGCCGGGTATTCATGGCTGTGGCCCACGCCCAAGGCATGTACACACGTGTGCCTGTGTGTCCGAGTGCACAGAGGGGCCAGGGCAGAGTCCCCGGAAGTGCCCTGCTGAGCAGGCCCCAGGCCCCCTGCAAGCCCCAGGTCGGGAAGGTTAGGCACCAGGACACACATTGCTGGCTCCGGGAAGCCGAGGCCCATGCTCCCGGGCCTCCCATGCCTGCCCCGAGCTCCCCCGTAGACTGCCAGTGGCTCCTCTCTGGGCCTCTGTGGGCTGAGCTGGGGCCTCTGCCTGCCAAGGCCCCCGTTCACCCCCCTTCAGAGTCTGGGGCCCCAAGCTGCGGTGCAGAACTGGAGGGCGGGGGCGGGGCTGCGCCACAAGCCAGACCCAGAGGCCCCAGCAAAACCGCGAGGCCCCAGCACCCGGCCGGCTGGGGTGGGGGGAGGGGTCCCAGCCCACACTTCTAGCCCCTCAGGGTCCCCACACACCCCGCCTGGCCTCCAGACAGGCAACCAGACCCAGAGAGGGGCGGCTACTCCCAGGCCTCACACAGCACACTGGGTGGGGTGAGCAGAGGGGTGCTCCCAGCCATGAGGCGCCACCACAGACACAGGACCCTGCCCAGACCCACCCGCCATCCTTACGGCCTCTGGACACTCAGTCTGGCGGGGACCGTCCCTGGGACCCCCCAATTCCTCACCCTGGAGGTTCCTGTGTGCTGCGCCAACCCCCCCTGCCCTGGATCCTCCCGTCACCATGGCCAGGCGTCACCCCTGAACCCAAGTTCTTGCTCAGGTCACAGCTCCCGAGTGATCTGAAGGCCCTGGGCAGGGAGAGGTCTGCCAACGCGAAGAGCCCCCAGGGACATCACAGGGCTGCCTGTGCAGTCTGAGGCCAGGCACGCCGGTGGGCCTGAGACGTCCCTGGCCCTGCTCCCCCGCTTCCTCTGCAACCCACAACTGCGGAGCCTGGAGCCCCTGGGCTGTGGAGACCGAGGCCCTCACCTGCCCTTTGCCTCCCAGTCCCCAGGGTTAGGGGTGGGGTTAGGTTTCCTCCGAGTGAAAAGCCCGGGGCTCCCCAGCTCTGTGTCCCACAGGAGTCAAGCCCCAGGTGGATGCCAGAACATGCCCCGAATGGCCTTTGTCCCCAGGCCACCAATGCCCATGACCATCACCGTTCAGTGGAGAGGAAGCACTCAGGGAGCTGAGACCATGGGCAGACTCCAGCCCACCCCGAGCCAGTGTCCCTCACCCAGCCTCACTGCCCTCTGGGAAGCTGCACCCCGCCACCCCCTGCCCCATGGTGGGGGTCCCGACTTCCGAGACGAGTCCTGCAGACCCCGTGGGGCTTTTCCCTGTCAGGGGCTTCTCCTGGGGATTGGGCATAGAGTGGGGAAGTCTTTGGGGCTTTTTCCCAGGAATGGTCCCAAGTCACCCTCTCTGAGCCAGCTCCACCCCCACCCGCTCTGCACCCCCGGCACAGAGCCCAGAGGCCCACAGAGCTCATTAGCACAGCAGCGGCCCCGCCGAGCTCGCTTTAATTGGGGCCGGCGGGACGTGAGAACCCGGGGACCCCGTGCCCGGGCCGCAGGGGGAGGGGGCACCCGCCTGGGCTGCCTGCGGCGGCGGCCCGGATTAGCACGAGGCTCAATGGGCCCAGCGAGCGGTAATTAAAGCTGCCCGCCCGGGCTGCCTCAGGGCCCAGGGAGGCTCTGGCGCCCGCCCCGGTTCCACCCCAGAGCCCTCCCGCCTCAACCTGCAGAGGAGCCTGAGCCCATGCGTGCTGGGAGCTGTATTCACCTCCTCAGCAGCCCTGGTCCTTCCTGCCAGGGGGACCAAGGTAGTCGATGCATGCTGGTGTCTGCCTCGGTTTCCCCTTTAGAAAGCTGGGTGAACACAGTCCTGCTAGGAAGTGTCTTGGGAGGTGGGAAAGGGTTGTGGGCAGATCCTAGTCTACTGGTGGGTGCAGGGGTGTGACCAGGCACCGCAGAACCCTCCAGAACTCCTGCAGGTCCGCCTCCACACTGGGCTTCCTGGGAGCTGCCCAAAGGCCTGGCCAGGTACTAGAAACAAGGCCTGAGGGGTCCAGCACAGACCCTGAATAGGGCAGCCCTTCCGTGCTCTGGGAGGCCCAGCTGAGCCAAGCCTCAGAGGCTGAAGGGCTGCCAGCCCCTGGGGACCATGGTTCCTCCTCAGTGTACCTGATATCTCTGCTGTCCCAGCCCTCACCTGGGACCTGGGCCTGGAGGTGGCTCGGGGATGAGACAGAGGCCAGGCTGCTGAATCGTGGGGCGCAGCTTCCCCTCGGCCTGACAGCCCTCCTGGGGCTGACTCCAGAAGAGCAGGCCCAACTGACCCAGAAGCTGCCGAAAGTTCCAGGGTCGAAGGTACAGGGATGGGCCTGGCCGGCCGTCTGCTGTCGGTGGGAGGTGGAGGGCGTGGGATCTCCATGGTGGAACGGCCCTCTTGGCCAGTCGCCCCCACAACAACCCTGTCATTACTTGATCGGGTTTCCCGCTGCAAACCCCAGGCTCCTGTGGTTTCTTCAGAGTCACAGGATCCAACCAGGCCTGTCCTCGTCCTGGCTAGGAGAGCGGAAGCCATGGGGGACTCAGAGGACTCTACCTTTCCAGAGGCGAGGGGGTCAGGGCTGGCCAAAAACTCCTCCAACCACCAAAGATAGGGCTTCTGGGCTCAGGGTCATGACTGTGGAGGCTGGGACAGAGGACTCTGGCAGGCAGGACCCTCCGCCTTGGGCACGGTAGACTCCAATGCGTGCCCCCTACTCCAGGGCTGCCCCTTGAAGCCCCACAGGCCCACACCTGCCTGCAGCGGGTCCTGAACTTTCTGGGGACATCAGGAGACACGGTGCTGTGGGCACTCGGGGGGCAGAAGGAGCCTGCCAATCCCACCCTCCAGGGACTGGCTGCAGCCCGTCTGCACGTGTGCTGGGGCAACAGCCCCTGTAGGTGCCTGCCTGGTGCCCACCTGGCCAGGCCTGCTTGCCAGCTTGGCCCCATGCTCCTCCTGGAACGCCACCTGTGTGGGTGCCAGGCCTGCGGGTGGGAGGCAGGGGACTGTCAATGTTTTACCACCAAACTTCAGAGCCAACGTGACTCTGGGTGGCAGCAGGAATGGGGCCCCCAGCCAGCCCCCCATGGGCCTGCCTGGGTCAGGTTTGGCCACATTTTTTCTCTTGGGAGAGAGCTTGTTGCTTCCTCTGGTGAAGATGTTTACTCTCCTGGGGCCGGGGTGCCTGCTGGGGTGCCTGTACCTGCGTGTGCCTGCGTGTGTACGCGTGTCCCTGTGGCTGGGTTGCTGGAGGCGGGTCCCCGACAGCAGTGAGGGGTCGAGCTTCGCTCAGGCCAGCATGAGCAGGAACAGACAGAGGATTAGAGGGAGCCCCGCCCAGGACGTCCCCTGGGGACAGCAGGGCCAGTCACGCGTGTGGTCCAGGCCAAGACCCCAACACTAGACCGCTGTGGGGCTGGGCAGATGTGCAGAGCCCCTGGGCTCCTGGGCCGGCAGTGATCCTGAGTGGGCCGCCCGGGAGACTGTGGGTCCAGGTGAGAACCGGATAGGACACCCTGGGTGTTGGGGCTGAGACCAAGTTCCCGCTCCACACCTGCTGTGGGGTGACCCTGGGCCGCCTCCCTGCACTTCGTTTTCCCACCTGTAAAACGAGGGTAATAACAACACCTCCTTTTTGTAATGTAATTTGGGTCAGGTGTCCCGGGACAGGGCGAATGTGAGCCCCCTGAGCTCTGTCGGAGGTCACTGACCTCTCAGGAGCAGCCTCCCCTCTGGCCCCAGAGCCCAGAAATTACTTTGAGAGAAAGGGTGAGGCCAGAGGGGGGCCGGGGATGGGGTGCTAACCTGCCTATGAAACTCGGAGTCAGGGCTTCCAGGACGGGAGGGTGCAGGGACCCAGACACCCAGGGCTGAGCTCAGGAAACTCCCACAGGCCGCCGGGAGGAGGCGGAGATGGGGCTGGGGGGGAAGGGCTGGAAGTCGGGGTGGGGTGCGGTGGGGGTGGAAGGTGGGAGCGCGGGGGGATGGCGGCAGTGGCCTAGCGGGGGCGCCACCCCTCCCACCTGGAAAACACCCTTGGGTCCCCCCGAAGGCCACGAGGCCACGGGCCGTCCCGCTCTGCACTGAGGGAGCTCCCGGCCGCCGCGGGCGGAGCGGGGTCGGGAGCGGGGCGCGGGGCGCGGGGCGGGGGGCTCCGGCCGGCGCGGGCGTGGCGGGCGGAAGGGGCGCCCCGGGCGCCGCTCAAAGGCCGCTAATGTTCGCTAATCCCGGCCTTTCAGGCGGCCGCAGCCCGAGCTGTTGGCCCAACAACAGGCGGCTGAAAGGGGAGCGCGGGGCGCGGGGGGCCGCTGCCCCCGCCGGCCCCGCCTCCGACCCGGCGGCCTCGCGCCCGGGACCCCAGCCCTCGGCGCCCGGAGGGTCCGCGCGCGCCGCCCCGTGGGGACCCCGAGGCCGGGAGCGGCCGGGCGGGCTGGGGCGGGGCGAAGGGGGGTAGTGTGGAGCCTCGAGGGGCGAGGAGGAGGGAGGAGGGGGAGGAGGGGGGAGAAGGGGGAGGAAGGGGGAGGCTGGGCGAGGAGGGGGGAGGCCCGCCCCCTCCGGCTCCGCCGCGGTTCCCAGGCCGGGAGGGGCGCGGGGCCCCCCGGTCGCAGACGGGCCGGGCCCCTCCGGAGCGTGACCCCGGCTTTCAGCGCCGCCCCTGGCCCGGCCCCAGCGCCTCGTTAGGGATTTAATTAAGGAGCCGCCGGGGATTTGCATAATCTCCGAGGCGCGCGGGGAGCCCCGGAGGCGGGCGGGAGGGCGGAGGGGGCGGCGGGGCGGGCGCGCCTCCGGGCTCGGGTCTCCCAGTCGGGGCCGCCGGGGCCGGAGCAGGCCGGGGACCGCCGGGGCAGGAAACACCTTTTGCGCCGCCGCCGGCCCTGGAATTCCCCGTCCGAGCCGAGGGTCCCCTCCCCAGGCGACCGGCCTCGCGGACCCAGCTGGGCGGGACAGGCCTCCCAGGGGCCGCGCTCTCAGTCTCCCCCTTCCGCGACAAACAGCGAAGGCAAACATTCCAGCCGCGTCCGCCTGAGCCGGGGGTGAGGGCGGGAGGCCGACCCCTGCCAGGGCAGGGCATCGCCCCACAGCACCGGCCTGAAGAGGGCTGAGACCCGGCTCTGGCTGGAGCCTCTGTGCTGACCCCTGAGGAGGGGATGGCTGGAGACCGGTCCTCGGACCCTGAACCTGGAGGTCCAGGGAGGGGCCCCTGTGGTCTCCTCCAGGGCCCTGTGGCTGTGGCTGAGCCCAGGTTACTAAGGCCGGAACGGGGCGGGTGAAGCCTGCTTTCACACCCCACACCTGGCTCCTGCCTCTAGACGCAGTCCAGGTGGGACACAGGGTCCCAGGTCTAGGAGAGGGTACCTCCCGGCCCCTTCCATTCCCTTGTCTGCTGGCACCTCAGAGCAGGGAAGTGCATGATAATGTGGCCTGGGGAGGCTGGCCAGGCTTAGCCAGGAGGCGGTGCAGGCCTGGGCAGCACTCTGGGCCTCTGCCATGGCCCCAGCAGCACCCTCACGCCTGGCACTCGCCTGCCCTGCGGGCATTCCCACAGCCTTCAAAGGGTATGTGGGCCCTGAGAAGGGCCGGGCCTTTCATCTCCTGGGTGGCAGGCTTGGGGCTGGGTGATTCCAGGGGTACGACCTCCCAGGCCCTTCCCCCTAATACCCTGGTGGGGCCTGGCACCCCAGCCAGCCTGGGCTGTGCCCACCATGTCAGGGAGGGGCCCCAGGGCAGGGCAGGAGCTTAGGAGGGTATGAGCCTTCCCAAGGCCAGCTGCAAAGGCCTGAAATTCTACTTTCCCCATGTTTGACCTCAACCCCAACCCTACAGGGACCTTGCTGTCGTGAGTGGCCTCCTGTCCCCTGTGCCCATGGCGGTCAGGGGGTCCCCCACATTCTGCACCACCCCACACTTCCTGTGACCTCCGGGTCAGAACCAAAGCTCCCTGGTGCCCACTGGGCTGGAGTGCTGGTGCCCGGTACTCCGCATTCCCATTCCTTCCTCCTCCTTCCGTGCTCCTTCCTGCTCTGTGCCTGCTCCACTGTTGGAACCCAGGTGCCTTGCTATCTGCTCCCCTCCGAGCCTGGGTTCTTCATCTCCCCCAGGGCACAGGTACGTGACAGCAGGGCCCGAAGTGGGGCCAGGCCTGTGGTGGTGCAGGAAGGCCTGGACGGAGGGTGGTCCACACTCAGGCCTGCCACTGGCTTTGCCTGCAGAGCACCTGCACCCTGCTGTCTCTCAGGAGGCCAGGGGACAAGCGCAGGCTGAGGCCGAGGTCAGCCTGAGTCAGGGGAGCTGCCTCTGGCTGGGTCTTGAGGGATGAATAGGAGCTTGCTGGGATGGAGGAGGAGGTAGAAGCGCCCAGCAGACCCCAGGGATGCAGGGCTGGTGGTGTGAACTGGGCTGGGCAGGTGGGCTGGGCAGGAGGCCTGGGCTTTGGGGACTCTGGATTGACCCTGGAGCTTTTCGTGGCCCAGAGACCCTGGGGACCAGAAACTGTCCCTGAACATGGAGCTCCGGTCTCTGGCAGTCTCTGCCTGCACCAGGCCTCGGCGTCACCCAGCTCTTTGTGCCCCAGGGAGTCTCCACTCTTCGGAGAGCCGGGCTGGGGGACAGGCGTGTCCTAGCTGCAAGGGCAGTGGGGAACTAGCTGCACTGAGGCCAGGGACAAGGCAGCCCAGTGGGGAGAGGCAGGCAGAGGGGCCTCTCTGCAGAGAGGTGGGCTTCAGCGCCAGAGACGCACCGTGTGAACCCAGCCCCGACCACCCAACCCCGTTCTCAGCCGAGGGGTCTGGGCCCAGTGCCAGCTGCACCTTCAAAGCCAGCAAGTGTGCAGCCCCACAGCAGCTGCCGCTGCCTGCCTCAGCACCTGGGTCCCAGGCCACCGTGTCCTGCTGGCCCCCGCTCCGGCGCCAGGCACTCATCTTGCCCATACCCCTCAAAGGGCTGGAGGTGGGGGCTCAGGCCTGTCCTGAGGAGAGGAGGTGGGAGGGGAGGATGGACGCCTTATGGGGTGGGACCAGCCTCAGGTCACAGCCCCCACCGTGGTCTGTGGGGCAGAGGAGGTCTGGGGAGGCTGGGGTTTGAGGGCAGAGGGCTCCGCTCAGGGAGGTCCCCAGGAGCAGGAACAGGAGTGGGGGATCCCCTGCAGGGGCGAGACCTGGGGTCTTGTCTTAGGTAGGAGACGTGGGTGGGAGAAAGCTCAGGACGCCCACCCAGCCCACACCCGGCCCCCAGGTCTCACTGCACTATCCTTGGGGTCTGCAGGCCCCAGTGTCCATGACCACGACAGGGACAGAGGTGAGCGGCCTGCTTTTCATTCCGTTTCACTTAAGTTGTCTGAACGCTGTCCTAGGCCGCTCTGGACGCACCCCTCCTACCAGCACCCAGTTGCCCCCAGGCTGCCCCTGAGGGCTGCCTGTGTTTTCGGCCCCCTGAGCCCAATGCCTGCTCTGCTGAACCAGGGCCTGAGCCCAGCGGACAAGCCCTGGGCCTGGGGCTCCCTTCTTTCTCCTCTTCTGCCCCCAGCTGTCCTGGCACCTGGCCCAGCTCCTGAAGGGACAGCCTGGCTCTTGACTGGAGGTGGCTGGCCTGGACACTCTCTCCAGGCCCCCAGCCTCCTGGAGGAGCACAGGCCAGCTCGTGTTGTGGGGTCTGGGGGCAAGGACGAGCCACCCGGGGGCTCTGGGGCTAGGGTCAGGTGGGCCTGTGGGGCAGGGGTGCCTCATCGAGCCCCCAGCCAGGCCCCGAGGCCAGGGACAGCCACTCCTGAAGGGGCCTTTCTCCCCACCGGGTGCGGCAGGAGCCCCCGCCCGCCCAGCCGGGCTGCCGGCGCCTCTCGGCCGGCGGCCACAGCCCTGATGTTGCTTTAATAAAACAAAGTTTTTCTTTCGTGCGCGGCCTCCAGTGGTGAAAGGGCCGATTTACGGAGCCCAAGCCCCTCCCGGCGCCCCACCCGCCTGCCCTGCGGTGGTGCTGGCCTGGCCCCGGGTAATTTATAGCCTCAACTTAGCGCACTCGCAGGGGCCAGGGCGGCATGACTGGGGCCCTTTATCCCAGCCTCGGGCCCAGGGCGGTTCAAGGCTCCATTCACGGGGGCCGCGCGCTCCCGCCCGGCCACGTCCGTCATGCAGGCATTTGGGAGCCCCGTGGCACCCGGTGGGTGAAGACGAGCTGTGCTGTTTGTGCCCTGGCGGCAGCTCTCCAGCCCCCAGGCCCCGGTTCCTCCCCGGCCCAGCCACCCATCTGCAGGCGAGGAGACCAGGGCCGGCAGAGGCCATGGAGTTCGTGTCTCCACTCAGCCAGACCCAGGTTTCCTCCAAGGACGCCGTGGCTTAGTTGGGCCCAGGAAACAGCCCCAGGTGTGTGCCTCAGCTGGGCATCTCTGCCCTCTGAGTGGCAGCTTGCGTGCTCTTTGAGTGGCCAGTGCATGTGGAGGCCACCTCACTCCAGGACCCCCACTGGAGGAGGAAGGGGTGAGGTGCCTGGACAGGACCAGCCCTCCTGGGAGTAGAAGAGACCCCCACCAGAGGATAGGGGCTGGGGTCCTAGTGACCACAGCTCGGGGACCAGGACACGTGTTCTGTGGCCAGCAGTGACGCTTCGGAGGGCTGTCACTCTGGGGCAGGCCTCAGTGCCGGCGCCCCTCAGAGGCCCACCCACTCTGCGTAGATTCTCGAAGGCTCCCTGGCTCCCAGGCAGGCACACACACAACCGCCTACACTCACACGCGCAGGTCACACTCACTGTGTGTGCCTGGGCAGGGCGGCAGGCATCCTGACCTGGCTTCCTGAACACAGCACCCCGCCCTCCCCACCTCGGGGGCCTGCAGCTCTGTCCTTCCAGCCACCTAGGCCTGGCCTCTCCGGGACTCCTGGTCCCCAGTCCAGCTGCCAGAGCACCCCGCAGGACCAGGCCTCCTCCAGGTACTCCCAGGCCTGGCAGGGGCTCCCC